CTATACAAATACAATATTATATTATGCTATTGTTATCATTATTATTTCTGTTAATAGCACAAAGGATGGAAACGCGGCGAATATTAACAACGTACAGGTTATATAGTGGCGACAGGAGGACATGATGACGAGATAATTGTTATTATTAATAACGGCGACGCACTGAGAACGGAGAGGCGAACCGAGATGGATATTATGACGTATATAAGTACCTATGTTAATTTTCTTGGTTATAATTCGTAAAAACAAGAAGACTCGTGGGAGTTGTAATAATAGTATTATTAATTATCATCATCATCATACCTATGTGTACGGGAGAAGGAGCCGCGATATAACGGTAAGGTTCTACGAAATTGCAAGGCTGGGCAAGTTAATGGTTTTTTTTAACTTGTTAAGTTAAGTTATTTTAAAATAATTAAGTTAAGTTAAGTTAAAAGTTACTCGTATTTTTTATCGTTAACTCGTTAAGTTAAAAGTTAACTTTGAAAAAAAAGTAACTTAACTTAGTGTAAAGTTAAAATTTGCTAATTTGCAAAAATAGAAAATTCCAGACACATAATGTGGTTTATTAGATAGTTTTTCTTTACGTCTAAGAAAATTACTGGGGAAATTTAAAATGATACATCAAAGTAAAAACACATTAAAAAATTTACATTATTCTTCGGAAGAAAATTAACTTAATTTAAATATTTTTGAAATAAAATTAACTTGAAGTTAGCACGTTAATCTTGAAAAAAAGTAACTTATTAAGTTAAAAGTTAATTTGAAAAAAAAAGTAACGAGTTAATTAACTTAATTAAAATTAACTTAACGTTTTAACTTAATTTTAATTTTTAACTCGTTAATGCCCAGCCTTGCGAAATTGTATGTTATCAATGCGCATAATATTAATAATACAATTATTATTCCGTCGACAACCGACGAAAGCCGTCGAGTGGCTTAAATAAAATATGCACAATACGCAGAACTACGCCTATTTCTTGTGAATATTTCTGTGAATGTGTCAAATCACAGACTCGGCACAAAAAGTTTAACACAATATTATAATCGGGTTAGGTCGACCTATGCTCGACGAAGCGTTTACGACCATAACTATCAATTAATATTTAATTTAAAAATGCTCATTATGTAATGATTACACTGTAAATTGTAAACTACCTACATGATCACAACACTCAATCCGACTGAAAAATAGGCGTCTCCAGACTTCAACACTCGTCAGTATAATTTTATTGAAACAGCTCTCATATTAGTGATGTTATTTCGTATCGCTTTTCTGGATCATAACACGATATTACTAACAAATTTATAAGACAGAGTTGGCCAAAAAATCGATACCCGCAGCGGAACATTTTTTTTCTATCGTCGCAATAATAATAATAATATATAATATACAGTTGAGAACAAAAAGAATGCTTAATGTGCGGTCGAGGTAGGAATGTAGGATGAAACGGTAGAAATATTTTGCGCTATAACCATATCGATCTAATACATTCGGTACGGGATTTATTTTGCGTTATATAATAATATACATTTATCGTTCTGTTTTGTATATTATGATACATTTTCTAGCCACACCATACACCACCTAATCTCTATAATATATATTTATATATTTATTGTATGGTCACGGACGAAGTTTTATTTTTCCAATATCACGGTCAGACGGGCCACTGCCACAACGCGGAAAAAAAAATAATATATCACTTATTGGATATTATAATGAAGTATCGTCAAAGATCGACCGACACGTTTCAATAATAGCCGCTCAAACCAGGTTACCGGTCGTCATTAGTCTTGCACAAACAGTGCCTACAGTATTCGAATAATGTAGGTATTGAGACTGTTTGAAAATGTATTCAAACATGTTTTATTTCATAGTAACGACTAACAACGGTGTGACTGGTGCGTGGCGCAGAGGATATTTACTTGGCGTGTACGACTCAAATGCGTTAGTGACTCTAGTAAGTTATCTGTTTCGTCACTCTAAAGTAAATAGTACTATTTCGACTGATACTCCATAGTCGACGGTACAAGAGAGGCGGATATTTAAAAATAACATTTCCAAGCTTTCGAGTTCTTCTCAATGGAACCATTTTAAAGACGGAAGTTTGTACTGTCACAAGACACTTCTAATCTAATACAAAAATGTCAACAATTCTAAAAGATGGTCTTCAAGTATATTTGAAAAATGCATATTAAAATACATATGTATACATGTATACTAATTTTAATAAATATTATTGTGTGAAGAAAATGGCGATGTGTTTCCAAGCCCCACAATATAACTCGGATCACTTAGCTGATCATACGCACTTCGTTTCCTGTAAAAAATGACAGCTATTAAAATTAAATTGTGATTGCTCAACTCTTTTGGGGTGTAACTATCGCTGCAGAAAGTTCTACTCAGTCTCCTTGGTAGGCGATGTGTGAAAATTCGATTTGATGCATGATTGTACCTGCTCTACTCAACTAACCAATGGCAACCAATACAATAATAAACACTAATCTCTACTAGTTAGTAGTTACATAGGACAGAATAAATTTGATATACAAAGATAATATTGTATGTAATATAATATAATATAATGTATATAAATATAATATAATATAATGTATATAAAAATAATATAATATAATGTATATACAAATAATATAGTACGCCGACTCTATGTGGGGAGTCTGCAAATAACACTTGACGTGTCGTGTAAGTACTATAACTTACGACTTTTAACGAGGCGCAGTATTAATATTTACCTACCGCCGAAGCGTTTGGTCGTAATCAAACGTATACTGTACTGTGTTTTCCGCAGAAACGTCAACTCACCAGTGAGTAAAGTTGTCTGTTTCATCACTCTCAAGATAAATAATAGTATGTCAACCAATAGGTACTCCATAGTCGTCGGTACAAGATAGGTTTGGATATCTTTTGTACTTAAAACTAAAATGTCTAAGTATTCAAGTTCTTCTTAATGGAAGCATTTTAAAAACGGAAGTTTATATCGCCACAAGGACACTTCTAATGCAATACGAAAATCTCAAAAGGTCTTCAATTATATTTAAAAACATCTAGAAATCAGATATTATCGTCATCTTAATTCGCAAATCACTTAACTCCATATTGACTAGTTTTCAGGAGAAAGGAAAAACATTTCATCGGAAAATTTCCTATCTCATCTCTCAATTCGCAAATATCCTTTTTTTTTTTTTTCAATAAATAAACCTAAATATCTATGTGTGGAGTGTGCGAATAACACGCCTTTAGAGTCTTCTAAGTACTACTCACGATTTTTAACAGTACCTATTAATGTTTACCTACCACTGAAGCTCAAACTTACGACGCGGTGTTTGCCGCAGAGACGTCTACATGGTTGCACACTTGCACGTTTATTTCAGTGTGTATTCGGTTATTTCCATATCACGATGCAGAACAAATAACATTATCCGCAGGCATATAACACCGAGCTGTTTGCGAATAGATAAATACTATAATATAATTCGTAACTAGTCGAAACGGAGAGGCGTGGACTTATAATATATCGCTCATATAATATTATGCGCACCCGTACATGGCTCGATTTTGGGGTGGTTAAACGGAAGGTGAAGTAAATCATTTGTCAACCACTCCAGTATAGATAATTTTTAATTTTTTTACCATCATGAATAAATGTGACCATATAGGATTATTACATATATTTATGCAAAGCGAATGAGGTAGATATAATAGATAGGTATTAATACATAGTACATACTTTATAATAATACGTTTAATATGAGTAACATAATAATATTAATAATATTAATTTAATTAATACAAAACAAAACAGGTGGCGAAGAGCCGACGATGGTACAGACGTACAGTGCATGAAATACGTGAGGCAAACCTACACTAACTTGGTACAAATGACAATGGAGGACATGAAAAACGGTTTCAGAATAGTACCAGCGAACACAAAGTGAGATAACGGTGGGAGAGGAGGGGATGTTTAAAAACCTTTTAAACTGTATAATATACATATAACTGGTCTATCTTATCAATAGAACCACAACAACAAAGGAACCGCCTGACAAATTTCTTTGTCTTGCGCCAAAATGAACGACGAGGACGTTTGTGTCTCGGACCTTCCGGTTTCCGTACATCGCTGGTGACCTGCTGAAACTTTAGATTTGGCGTTGATCGCCACCCAATATCTGCAGCTATCTCGCCACCTAATTTTTGGATGTATGGGGATGTTTGGCTCAGATACACAGAGCCTGCCGTCCAGAAAACCTTTGGAATCAAAATTTTTCGACGATTCCTGTTTCCGTACATCGCTGGTGACCTGCTGAAACTTTAGATTTGGCGTTGATCGCCACCCAATATCTGCAGCTGTCTCGCCAGCTAATTTTGAATGTATGGGGATGTTCGGCTCAGATACACAGAACCTGCCATTCAGAAAACCCTTGGAATCACAATTTTTCGACGGTTCCGGTCTTCGTATATCATTGGTACGGTTAAACTTCAGATTTGGCGTTGATCGCCATCCTATATCTGTCGATTTGGCTGAGGAATTTTCACACATTTGCAGTGATCTGTGTAATACATCTTTCCGAGCTTCTGACCACCAGAGTTCTACACTTAAATTAAGTGTTTATAGATATTATTTTCTCAAAAATTCGTTTTTGGATTTTATAGATAGTAGCAACTTTTTTTTTATGTATCAATTGGAAACTTAGAACTCGATGCAATTTTTCATTAATTAACTCAATGAGTTTGTTACTGTAAGTTACTTCACCAGTGTAAGGGGTGAAGCCCCCCACGAGTCTATTTCATATACATTTGTCCAGCCCCCCCCCCCCCCCCCCCCCCAAGTAAAATCTTCAGATTGCGCCTATGATGTAGTTAATATACCATTATATAAAACATTATTCGTTATTTCATTATATTAAAATTTTTCGGCATAATAACATTCCATTTTTTTTCGCAATTTTATATAAAATAAAACAAACAAATTATTAAATTAAATTTTGATATCAGCGTCGTCACTTTTCTGATTATTTTCTGTCATAGGCACTGCGACAAAATTATTATTCATCAAATCTTTAGTCAACCCAAAACGATTGCTTAGTATGTTTAAAAAGCACATCAAAGCAGAGCTGTAGGCGAAAAATCGAAACGACCACACTCCACCGTATGATCCGAATAAAAATCCGCCCAGTAGACTACCTAAAGATTCACCTGTAAAATATAATCCATTTTAAAACTATGTTAGGTAACTAGGTATAATGTTTTTGAATAACGAATCACATCAAAGTTAAATTTCAAATTGAAAAATTGACTTGTAAAAATTGTATACGTATACACTATATGTATACATTATTTTTACGTGTATCATTTGCAATTTGCATTACCTATGGCCTCTAAACATTTTCAACATCAACAAAAGTTAAATGTGTGCTATGGTTTGTTAAAATAAAATAAAATATTTATCTGAGTAATCACTTTGGAAAAACTCTATCCATGTATAAAATATATAGGGTCCACTCACTACCAACAGCCAAAAAATTGCAAAACATAAATCATATGATACCATTGTACACAATATTATTAAGATTTTTATTGTATATAAATTATATTAATTTGATTTACTATAGTTATGACTAGGGCTGGGATTTCGATGCACTTTGCATTGTTTTCCTAAGCTTACTGTGCAATGCTCGTCTTGTCACAAATTTTTTTTATGTACATTTGATCGAGAATAAGAAAGTTTATTTTACATTTTTTTGCATTTTTTAGTTTTTAGGTCATTTCCTTAATTTTTTAGGGCATTTTAGAGTTTTTGGAGCATTTTTTGAGTTTTTGGAAACAAAGTATGAATTTGAAATTTATTTTAAGATTTTTACACCAACATGGTTTTTAAATAAATATAACAGATTATAAGTAGGTATTCGTAAATCGTAATTCATATTATATTATCGGACAAGGTTTGAGTAACCTCTACCCGCATTTCCTGTTAAATAATCTTAAATCGGTAATCTTAAATCGGTCCGATGATATCGTTCGACGTTCAGTACGAGTTTTGTATACTAAAACTATGTATTGACAGCTTACACTTGTAATAGATTTTTGTAATGCATTTTTTTAAACTTTTTATTGTAATTTATACTAAAATTATTTTAAAAAAAAATGTTTAGATCATAAAAGCATTTTTTTTAGGGTATTTTTCGGTGTTTTTTAGGGCATTATTTAGAGTTTTTAGGTCATAAAAGCATTTTTTTTAGGACATTTTTCGGGATTTTTTAGGGTATTAAAATCCCAGCAATAGTTATGACGTATGAACAGTTATATATTTAAACGTAAAACTTCAATTTTTCATACATGTATTAGACATTAAATTAATTGATTGGAACTCTATACTCGCATGATAGCCATATTGGCTTGGAGGGGTGACCAACTCACTTCAGTTGTAATTATAACTTTTTTGTTTTTGTGTAATATTTTTGTGGTCGGAATTGTTTTAATAAATAATTAATTATTATAAAATTAGCTGCCAATGCAACCGCATAATATATACGGAATTTAAATATCTATTCAAACTAACTATCTAGAAACCAGTATAGCGTATCCAGGCACGGATACAAGGGGGGACTTATGGGGGCTGAAGCCCCCCCTCCTTAGACTATTACTTTGGTAATTAAAATATTTCAAAACTTAAACTAAATGCCTATGATTTTAAGTACTTTAGGTACATTTTTTTGTCAGCCCCTCCCCTTTTTAAATTCTAGATAATCGCCTGAGCGTAACTTTGATTTTTTTTATCGAGGGGGTTGGTGGGATATAAAGAATTGAATGTAAGTACATAATATTCAGTATAAGCATCATATAATCATTTTATTATATACTTGTTGTATTTTGTACACAATTTGGTCTCCGTGGGGTGGGAGGTAGATATGCCACCAGTAACCACTAGTAACAACACGTCAACAAATCATAATAAAATATATTAATATTGTATGCATATAAATTCATTTTGTGCAAGAATATTGTGAAGAGATAACAGATTCCTGATAAATGCGTTGTCATTATAAAATTGATTTTTTCGAATAATCGTCAGTTGGGTACATAATAATAATTACACTAAAGGACTTCCATACATTTTCATGTTTTCCTGGTTGTATGGTATGCTAATTAAACACAAAATTCGTTTCACAATGCAAAAACTTCGAAACATTAATGTTCATACATATTTTATATTTTTGAGTGTTTAGTTTAGAGCATATTATAATTATTATAACTTATAAGATAATATTTTGTGGCGAACTATGAACCTATTCAATATTTTCCTAAATTGATACACATAGATTGAAATGAAACTAACAGGAACTTTTGTTGTATTTTTGTCATGTATTTGGCTTATAACTATTATTACACACAAAAGATAATGTATTATATTTAAATAACTGATAATAATTATACGGTAATAGTTGGGTTATTTAAATAAAATTACTTAATACTATTCATTAATTACATCAATATATGGCTACTTTCCAACAACAATTTAATATAAGGTTCCTCTTAAATGTTTTTAGCAATAACAAAAATAGTTTACCTGAAAGTCATGATTTTTAGTATATAAAATTAAAATGTTGACAAAATCATGAAGATCGAGAACATTCGTAAATTATTTTGTAGTATGTATTAACTTTTAAAATGCCTTTAACTTTTATAGCCCAAGCTTGAAAATTTGTCACACTATTTATTTGAGCTAAAAAATACAGGTACAAGCACAATACTTTTTTTTATACTCATTCTAAGTTCAAATGTATTCGAAATTAGATATTTAAAAGAAGAATAACGATTTTATTTATTTTTTTGTAATTTAAAAATATTATTCGTGGGTATAAATATTTTAAATTTTTAAAGTTTATTATTAACTATTATATTCTATAAACACAATTACATTTTCAAATGCAATATTTTCGGAAAAAAATTAATTTAACCTACTGCACCTATTACTAATAGTTAAATAAATCACTTTAATAACAATAATATCATAAATTATACTTAGCAATAAATTTAGGCATTGGATTTAAATACCTTAAAAAATATGATATTATATGCCCTAAAAATTATAAATAATGAACTAATAAAATGCAACAATTTTTTTAAATTTTTAATAACTTTCATACCTACAAATTCTATTATAAATTCGGTTAAAATAAGAGTATACATTTTAAAGGATTGTAAAAAAGTTTTACAGATAGAACTGATCGTATTGTACTTCTTTAATCTGGAAGTGCAATTGTTTCCAAAAATAAGGTTTAGATTATATATTTGGTTACCTGTACCTTTATAGTTATAGTTTGTTAAATATATATAAAAATCATGTAAAATCATGTAAAAACCTTAAAAAAAAACTTCAAATTCCAATTTAAATTTATTAATAGGCTCTTAATATATTATTTTAAAGACAGATGAAAAATATTAAAAATAAATAGAAACTATTTTTTTATAAGCATTTAAAGTTCAAATATAGACAAAATACGTAAAATTCACAAAAATGTGCAAATTATTTTGAGTTGGAAATTCATAAAAACTTTTCTATTTAAACCCTAAGATTTGAAAACGTAATACAAGATTAATAAAGAGTTTGTCTACCTTTCTCAAAAAAAAAAAATGTCTACAAGCAAATTAAATAAATGTCTTGTATTAATTAAAAACTTGATATTGTTTCAATAGTAAAAATACTAGTTTTTCTCTGCTTTTATTACCTACCTAATTTTTATAAAATGTTAAAGTATGAATGAGGGGGGACGAAGCTGGTATTCTGCCGAATATAAACTTATATTTTAAGGAATTTTTAATTTCATTCCAAAAAACACGTCATGTTTTTTATAAAAAGTGCTGTAAATATATTTAGTTATAAAAATGTTTTTATAAAATAATTCTATTAGGTTTAAATTACATTTTAAAGATGTTCAATATAAATGTAAACAAAAAATTGATACCAATACAATTGAATTTTTTCCTTCACTTAGGATTTAAGTAAATACCCATGTATATCGATTAAACCAGAAATATTTTAAGTGATGAAAACATTTAAAAAATAAATAACTGGGAAAGTTGATTTGTTGCAGTAGATTGTATCTAGTCATCGATACAGTGTATCAAATCTCAAGTGTATAACACAATTTTTATAGTTTACCAATGCCATCGAAAAGTACTAATATCCCGATTACAGTGTTCGTGGAGTCCTCGGGTGACATAATTTTCACGTATGACATTTTCACCGACGTTCCCAATGCATACGACACGCCATTCAATAGCTCTATTGCAATGATCCAAGCTGGATTCCAGATGACTGTGTAAAGATACAACCGGATAGCCATGGCTCCCATCACTATGGCCATGCAGTTAATGTGACCCATCTTCCTGATTATCCAACCGGAACAGAAATAAAATGGTATTTCACCGCCAAAACATTGGATGCCTTGAGCCAGACCTTGAAGCGTTTTTAGCCAAGCCCGTTGGCTGTGGTCTTTGCTAGCATAAACTAAATCCTCCATGTACCTGATTAATAATTATTAACAATAGTGTTAAAATTTTTTAACAATGAAATATTATTATACTACATATTAGGTACCGTACAGTCAAATATTATTTTACAAAATCTCTAGTCAACTTTATTTTACTCTAGGGCAGCGTTTCTTAAACTTTTTTTATCAGAGGAACCCTTTTTTATGTCCACTTTTATCTTGGATGTTTTTATTTTATTTTTTATTTTTAGATTCTGAGTGGAACTATAAATGTATTGATTATACAATGATGTATGTTTTTTTTTGTGTCTGTGTACACGATAAGTAGTCAATAATGTTTCGATTTTCAACTTCAATATCTTGTTCGATTTTAAAGTGAATATCGTAAGTGCATTGGGGAGGTCATAATTTAAAATTCTCAGTAATTTTCAAAAGCGCCATGAAAAACAAAAGAAAAATTAAGGAAAAACGGGAAATTTTACGCAAAATCGATTTTTCACAAAATTTAATTTGGTTTTTGGTGTACCTTTAAAACAAATGACCGTAATTATTAAATATCAATAAGTTTTATCTGTTGGTCTAAAAAGTGTAAAAATTTAATCTCCTGATTTATTGTTACAACATTAGTTGAAAAATATTAAAAATACATATTTACGGTTTTTTTTTATAAGCATTTAAAGATCGAATTTTGACAAAATTTATCAAATTTTAAATTTAATAATTATTTTGTAGTTAAAAATTTATAAAATGTTCAACTTTTATATCTAAGGATTGAAAATTTATAAAAAATTCCACGTCAGTAGTTAATTCTGTTACCAAAAAATCTAAAAATAAATAAGCACAGTTTATTTTTATAGTCATTTTAAGTTCAAATTTGGACGAAATTACATAAAAAAACCTAGAATAACTATTTTAGTTATTTTGTTGTGATTGTATGTATAATATTAATCGTGTGTACTTGAAACTTCTAAAGTAGGTAGGTACACTATTATATATCTATGATAATATTAGGGTTTGTTATTGGTGTATAGCGCTTTATAAGTACCTAATGGATTTTGTGATATGATTAATTTGGAATTTATTATTGGTCAATTTTTTTTAATACCATAGATAAGTATATAATATGCCTTATACCTAGACTGACATATCGTCTCCGCTCAGAATCGTTTTTCTTATAAAATTATATTATATCATTGAATTCAAATTTAATACTATCCATTATACAGTGACCCACTTGTAACCTACTGTACAGCAGAGCACCTTTTTTTTCTTATAAATATCAAAAAAAAATGTAATACAAGGTATCTAATAAGTTGTTATAATAGCAGTTAAAATATAATAAAGATGGATTTTTTTTTATAATCATTTAAAGTTCAAATGTTGTCAAAATTCATAAAAATTTAGAAAAATTTTAAATTATTTTGAAATTAAAAATTTAGAAATTTAGAAATTTGTATAGCTAAATAGATTGATAATTTAGAACAAAATTTCTACAAGTAGTTCATAGTACAACCAAAAAATATATAGACACGGTTTTAATTTCAAATTTCAAGTCAAATATGCACGTTTTGTCATTTTTGTGAAATAGCAATGATTCAGTGGGCCATGACTTTTATATTATATTTTAATATTATACGTTTTATAGATTAAAATATGTATTGTTAAATAATGTGATTAATAATATATGTTAAATATAAATTATTTTACTGTGTACAGTGATTAGTGGTGTATAATATTATATCCCTCACCTGAAATTAATTAAAAAAATTGTATTTTCCCACAAGAATAAAATCATATAGGTAATTACCTACGCCAATGGCACAAGTATAATACTGTTTGGCCAACTATTTATAATTAAAGTTTCGTGATATACCTGCCTATATATTATAGTTATTTCGATCATTAGTAAGTGTAAAAATGAATATTTATTTTATTTTATCAAAGCCATCTAAAACTATTAAAATAGATACCCAAATACAAATTGATGTGTTTGATTGCCATTTTTTTAGTGTCCTGGCTACGTATATTATTTCATATTTGTTTATTTTCGAATGTTTGACAGCCAAACTTAATCAACATTTAGTTTATTAATTGAAAATATTTTGTTCTGTTTATGACACTTGCTACTAGTATATTTTACTGGATTAGAACGCCGATTCAATTTGTTTCACTAATTCAGATACAGTGATAACAATGGACACGATGGCTTCAAGTTCAAAGTATCAAAACATAAGTAAGTTCAGTTTAAAATCTAATGCACGGGTTAAGTATTTATTTTACTTTTACACACACTATTCTATAAGGGTTAGAAACTTGACTAGGTATAGTACTGTAGTAGGTACTTAGGATCAATATCTTCAAATACGTTTGAGGTTTAATGTATTTAATTATTATTTACTTAAGCAAATAATAACTATATATAAGTACCTAATAGGACTTTTGTATAATACATAATATACTTACTCGTACATTATAATGTAGGTATAGGACAGCGGTCAGCGGTTCCCAACCTTTTTATATCCGCGTACCACTCACACATTTTTACTTATCAACAAATGAAACGACGTTATTTTACATACCTAATATATTATTAAGCCTTTTTTATAATTTATTTTATTGATTTAAAGTTTAAGCTAATTTAATGACATAAGCATTTACTGTACAAAAAGTAACATCTCGTTTAAATGTACATTTATTTTATTATAATTATAACGAATGTGAATGAATAATTTAATAATTTAATATGACTGTTGATGTTGTATGCCCTGAACTCCCGTGTTGGTAACTTTAAGTCTTAAGTTGTCTTCTATGTTAATTTCGTTTCTATATTTGTAAAAACTAATTTATATTGAATATCACTCTAATAATAATTTATTGTTTAGCGTCCCCACGGTTTTTGGAGACTTAAATGTAATTTCGCCTCACCTCATTTTAACCAGTTTAACCACTGCCCATATTATAATATATTATTATATATATATTGTAAATATAATCGGTGAATATAATAGTTAGATAATGTATTATAATACCTATTTCGTATTTATTTTTTAGGTGTTCAACCGACCACGGTTCCACGGACTGCTAAAACGGTGTACGAGGTACATAATATTTATTAAACTATTAACTTTATTTTGTTAAAATATGTAATAAAAATTTAAATATGTTACGGCAGTACAGTGAAATGCCAAATCTATACTAACTTCAGGAAAAAGTTTCACGAACGTCCTTATTCTTAACGTTTGATTGCACTTGAAAATATATTATAAAATCCTGTTTATTATAGTTACCCCGACAAAACTTGACCAAAGACGAACTCGAGAGAAAATCGACTTCCGACAGAACTAAACGCCGTGTGGCCCACACGGCGTGGTTTCCCCTGCCCGTAATAACTAAACCTTTAGTTGAGGAAAAGCCTGCACGGAAACAAACAAAAAAGCTGGTGTTTAAGAAGGATGGAGTATGTTTATATCATTATAATATCATAAATATAATGTAGGTACCTACCAATGTAAGTCATAAGCATTAGCGGAACTAGGGGGGGGCTGGGGGCTTAGCCCCCTCAAAATAAATTATTCAATTCTTTCATAAAATATTAACAAATCAAATTAAACTGTATTTCTTTTTTTTTTTTTTTGGAAAAAAATGTAATTATTTAATTTTTATTTAAACTTTTTTTTTATATTGCCGATGATAAATATGGTATATATCATACGCTGTCTGTTTGTGTTCGTTTTTAGAAAACAATTTAGGTATATCGGTATGATATAAATTATATTGTTTTTGGTAAGATTATTACACACAATTTTACAGTATAGGTACCTATAATGAAAATTACCTGTAAAAATCAATGACCCCAGACTACAATATTACTGATAACCACTTGTCCACATACCATTTTTAAAACCTAATTGGTGTATAATTATTACATTATTAATATTTAATTACAAATATATTATTATGCTATACTTTTCATTAAAACAATTAATATATAATAAATCATATTCAAAAATTAACAATAATATTGTTTTGTTTATATCACGATGTGAAACAACATATGTTAATAGTTCTTTTAAAAGATTACTGATTAGGTACTTAAATGCATTAACTCTTAATTGCTTAGTAATAATTAATTTTATTAGTTGATGTATCGATTTTTATTTTATAATGTTTTAAATATTGTACCTACCTATATTAAGTAAAACTTGTAATATCTACTTCTAATAACAATAATTATCATTATTTACATATCTTTAAAATATTATTAGAAAACGTAGGTAATATTTTATTTAAGGATATATTATAATATATAATATAAAGTATTTTGAAAATTATAATATGCATTTAAAAAAATAAGGTATAATTAAATACTTGAGTAAATAAATAATTGATTTTTTTACATTTTTAGTGAACATATATTGGGGTGTGGGGGCATCGCCCCCAAGGGTTACTTTTCATGTAATGTCAAGTGGGGGCTTCAGCCCCCCCCCTAAAAAATTCTGCCCCAGTTGCGTCACTGGTCATACGGTTCATTACGTATATTTTATCTGGTTTTTAATTTAAAAAAACATTGATCGGTTTGTTATATTTATTTTAACTCATTTAAAAATCGTGTTTCGGCTAACCTATCTACGCATATAAACTGATATATCTATATACCTAAATATTAATTCACTTTATTGTTCAATATAGTATTTTCGTAGTATATTTTTATAGTACCTAATTCATGTAAGTGTGTCCAAACTTATTAATATTTCAATAAATAAATAAACAAATAAATAATTATATTCCAATTTTTTAATACATTTAATGACCAACTTAAGAATATAATATTATTAATTTTATTTTTACGTAAGTAGGTACTTTATATAGTGTGAAAAAATTAGCTATTTATTGATAAAATCTCTTATGTGCTATCTGCATCGTAAAATTAATAAAAAATAATAAATAAATTCTCCTAATAATTGTGGTACCTACTAATTGTTTATGCAATATCTCCTATGTGCAGCTATCCCCCCCCCCCTGTAGAAAAA